CAGGTGACAGTCACTGAAAATATACTCAGGGGGAGTTATGAATACCCGCTCTTGCGATCAACACGCACAGCCATACGGTCGCATGATAATATAGTGTTTATGTAAAGAGAATAAAGGGACAAACTGAAAGTACTGGATTCTTTTAATTTTGATGACTTGGTGGACTAAGGCTAGAGTCATTGACCGATAAGTCAGTGATTCGAATTCACTCTTCGCTTTTCGTTTGCTCCCATCTGGGCCTGAGCAAGATGACAGCATCACAGTGCCTGTGTTCTTTCGGTTTGCATGACAGCTTCAGTGGAACAAGTTCCATTTGACCATGATGTCATCCCTTCCTCGCTTTGCTTTGTCCAACAGTCGTAGAAGAGTGCCACGAAACCCGTACAAATCCATCGTCACAACTAACGTGTATATCTGTATGAATATAGCGGTTCTTGGATTATTTCAGTCGGTGTCAACTCAGGCTGCTTACGGTCACTAAATCGACTTCCTGTAATTGGAGTTCCGTTTCTCATCAACGTGCGATGACAATATGAGTATTCCAGTTGACCGTTTCGCTGGACATTCTGTTTGGCTCGTCCTATGGAACACTTGTTGCCCCCTGTGTTTGGACCATTTCGTCAATCAACTATTATGGAACCGATAAATGTCACTTCTCGTCATTTTGCTTTACGTTGACTTACCAGAACAACAATGTGGTCAGGAAGTAGCTTTTTGGTTCTGAAGCAGTCATCTCTGATAATTCCCAGTCGCAACCTTTTTTCTCGAAGATGTTAACGTAGGTTTCCTGCTTGGGTTTGTACTCGTTTGACAAAACTGGACATTGTTGGTCTGGGTACAGACCTTCTTATCTTGAAGTATGTGGAGCTGCGTTCCATAATCTGAAGTCCTTGCTAACCAACTGGTCTGTGATTTTGTCCCGTTGACGGTCGGTCACTCTTAACCCAACTAGTTCTCTCTTCAGCGTTGGAACGATTAACTGTGTGCAGTACAATGGGCACTGTTTTTGTTTACTCTAGTGAGCACAAATACTGTATGCAATCTACCTTCCATACCATCAATACTAGCGACATCAAACAAGTCAACTAGCTCAAACTTTGCACCTTTTTTCTGCCTAGCTCCAGTGCAGTTAACTTTCGATTATCTCACTTACAATTTCTTGGAAAGTAATGGTTTGATCTGTAGGCCTATATTCTACATGCTAACATGTACCTACGATGCACATCTGCGTTCACCAGCTTGTTACAAGTGAACTGAGTGTCATTGCCATGCAGGTCGATTGTGGTCACATTAATGATAATCACTGCCATGTGGACCTCACACAATAGGAGGCGCACAACGTTTCAGTTCATGTGATCTATTATTGTTTATGTTCGCGTGATTACTCTATTCCTAATAAGCTTGATTTAATACGATGTCAGCAGCCATGTGGGTAGCCTGCGTCCGAGCGTTCGGCTGAAATGCAGCGTAATCTTTTGTAGTGCACTCAGTGGTTCTCATGGAGGGTTGACCTTGTTTGGCATATTCCTTACCATCTGACGGCCCATTACATTCAACCGTTTGCGGATTTGAGTGTTCCCTTGTCCAGCTGGTCCACGGTACTCATCAGAATGAGAACCAACTGATTCGCATGGGTTTTCAATTTCACGTGCAACGGTTGTTGGCGGTCAAAATGTAAGAGGTCTCCGTCTACCTGTGTATGTGAAAACATCTCACCAATAACTTGGTGTCTATCACCCTACACACGTGTCTACTGTGTTCGTCGGTTTGCGATGGACCACCGTTGGCGCACTTAGTACGGCCGTCAAGTGATACCCTGATTTCCCGCCTAGGTCGTGCATATTGCACATGCCGACCAAAGATCGATGACCAAACTAAGTGCTAGCTCATGCTGGACACGTCCTGTGAAGTATTATTGTGACCTGAAAACCATGATTATTCCAAAGATACTTTTCGTTCCGGGACTTTCGAGAGCAGCGCGTTATTTGTGCCGGTCTGCTCGTCTTGGTGGTCCGTCAGTACGTGATGTTATGCCAAGGGTGTATGCCATAGTTTGGGATATTTTGAATGCTGACCTGAGATTCCTTAGATCGGCCGTCTACGAACCTGGCCTAAAATAATGCAATTTATTGACCATTGTCTCCCGGAGTCTACCCTAAATTTCTCGTGTTGATTTTTGCGGGAATTTGTGGACAATATATCCTGTCTAATTTGGTTGTTGACCTATAATTCCGTTACGGCACGTGCCAGCTAGATGGTTAGGATGCCAGGCTTTGTGTTCCCAGTCGGAATCTGAGTCCACTGGAAAATAGGATCTCCAGAGTTGGATGCAGCAGTGATGGAATTCATCCCTGCATGTCATTTTCCTTACAGTGTAACCAACTAGCCATATCACCTGTCAATAGCGTTCCTCACTTAATGTAGTGCAGTTACTGGCATTTTGCTTTCGATTCCTAGTTTCTCGCTGTCGGTTTTATGATTTTTCAAAGTTTCTCTCACTGATATGGGTCTCTAGTTCCTATGAAAACGTAATCAGTGTACTCATCGGTTTCTCAATGAAGTTCTGATCTTGTCGCGTTGGACGTTGGATTAATAAATCTAATTTCCTTATCCCTTGTAGATTGTATTTGACGAATGTCATCGTGCGAAAAACCTCACCCCAAGTGGCTCACAGAAACCAACTAAAACAGGCCTCACGGTACTCGAGCTACAAAACCGGTTACCCAATGCTCGTATAGTTTACGCCAGCGCTACTGGTGCCACTGAGCCACGAAATATGGCTTACATGACTCGTTTGGGTCTTTGGGGAGAGGGAACTCCCTTCAAAACGTTCAATTCTTTCATCCAAACTCTTGAACGACGTGGTGTTGGTGCAATGGAGCTTGTAGCGATGGATATGAAACTACGTGGGATGTATATTGCACGTCAACTGAGCTTTCAGGGTGTTAACTTCACTATCAGGGAAGTGGCTATTGAAGATGTACGTCTCAAAAACCACGCGTTCATTCACGTTTACAATCAGTGTGCTGATCTGGTGAGTTCATTTGTCCTATTAAGCACCCATACATTCATGCTTGCTGCGTTTCTGAAAACCAGTCGATGCCAACGTCTTATCACAGCAATAGAATGACTGATCCTGTACGACGCGTTCGCCTTCCACAGATCACTTGTTGGCTGTGTTTGCTTTGTGAGCCGTCAACGCTAACTTGAAGTCATCCTTAAAGCCTAGCTTAGATTTTTAATGGCCCCGTAAAGGTCGCTTCAGAATCACAGACCTTGTAACGGGTTCTATTTATTTCTTACTGGTGACTCATTTTCATCGGTTGGGAGACGCAAATATACGTGGCAACGAAGCCGTGTAACTAGTGGAGCATCATAGAATAATCACTCATTGATATTGCAACTGCCAGACTTCATTCGCTTATTAAGTCACTATTCAAATTTAAGTCTCACGGTGATAACGTTATTCTCGATGGTATTTCAGCCAAATAAAACATAATGCCGAAATACATTTTCCGGTATTCCAGATAAACATCTAGAACGAGAGCCAGAAAAACAAGTCTTCATTATTTCTTCAAGTCCCCTGAATTACTGTGAGTCCTACTCTGATGGTGGTAATTTCTAGGCTACTCTAAGGCACACCATACATGTTCATGGGGTGTTTTATCTCCCTGCCATTGATTGTCGAGGAGACAAACCAGACCCAAGCATCACACCTGGGGAAGCTCGATAAGGTAAAAATCGGACAGAGACGAGTGTGGTTGGCACGGGTTACGAGGTTTAGTCCCATACTTCTGAATTTTTGATATGAAAGTCCTCCTAAGTATATGGTGTCCTTATGTTTGGTCTTGATTATACCCCCTGCAGTCCTGAGTGCTTTTTTGTGATTTTATCTTAACTGGTTAAAAGTCTTGACCGCAACCACAATAAACAGCAATCTGCAGCCAGACTATTCGTTAAAACAACTGCGCTGCTGTCGTCAGGTATGCACGCAAAATTGGACTGTTCGTTCGTTCGTTCGTTCGGAGATTTAAGCGACATCCGTTCAAGGCCTGTGAAGACCTTATCACGTTAGATAATGTGTATCTCTTATTCAAGATTTTTGGGGCATACAAGCTTCAGTGCGACCGATCGCCTGGACACAGGCTACTGGTGTCTTTCTTATCGTACCTTCTAGTTGCATTCCTCAACTGATGCGATGTCATACATGATGTATCCACTGGCATTAGAGAACATCATAGTCTGTTCCTTGATCCGCTGGGTAATAGTACGAGTCGAGCCCGGTCATCTAAAAAAAATCGGGTTCGAGATGGCTCGGTGGTTAATGCGCGAACGTAGTGACTGGAAGGCCCAACCTGAGCATTTCACGTGCTCCTGTCTAGGCTTAGACAACCTGGCAGTATCTCAGCCCCCATGTTCCTTTGGGTGGCACGGCAGCTAGGCACCGAAAGGGTTTTACGGCCGGAAATCTGGGTAGCTTTGCTCTCCTTAGACAGTTAATCTGTTATCATTACGTCCTTCGTTGTTACGCTTTTGGGAGAGACAACTGTACATTTCTGGTCAGTTTATCGATTTATGGGGATTGTACCCACATCAGACGGGGTTAGGATTTTAACCGATCCTTCTCACCTTATCCACCTTCAGGTCATGCGCATTGAGGTCACTTCAGGTCACATAAGCCGAGATGAGAGATTCGGAGCGATAAGTGTATTTGGGGTGTGTGCTACATCACGTGATATACTCCCGGGCTTGCTCCACGCTACGCACACAGCTCAGCCCAGTTAGCAGTCGTGCATGATTCTGGTGTTCCACATGCAACTATTTTAGAGCTCTGTGCTTGGCTGGTTGTGATTTGACAACCAAACCGTCGATGATGCTCCGGTGTTTTCTTGTTGCATGTTACTGGAACTGCTCATAGGTATGTAGACATTCGTAACTGCAGGCTTGCTGTTACGTGGCTGAACAACAGTTTTTTTTTATTATGGTTCATGGCCTGTTATAAAGCCAGGACAGTGAGCGCCACAAGGACTATGCCGGAAATGTTAACTAAAACCACACTTAACCCATTCACCATTTGTATGCATATGGAAGTCGTTTGCCCGCTCCTACTGGGATTTAACCAATCTGTTTGTCTAAGTCAGCTCAATCAATTTATCGGTTACAAACCGTGTACCATAGGCACATTGGTTCCAGCTGCTGCAGTTTCCATCACCGCTAAACGGGAGAGTTGGGGCATATGGCCAAGCCGTGGAGGTGATGACGTGTACAGTTTGTTCGGACATTGGATGGCTATGCACTGAAGGCGATGGCTTTGGTACACAAGCACCATTGACTGCGCGGTTGCGCCATTTCTGCCAATATCATTGGTCACTAGTGATTTGAGTCCCGGGGTCCCTACTCTGTGGGATTCCAGTCGTCGATCCGACTAAATTTACTGGCTACTGTTTTCGTACTTCGCTGCCAGGTCATACACTGTCCACCTCTCGGTCGCTCCCACTGAGCACAGGGTTTGGCGCAAAGAGCTCTGTGAGGCAGACGGTCTTGTGGCATACGGAGTACATGTCGCAACCAACGCAGCCCATGAAGCGTGAGTAATTAATCTATCGTGGGAGAGTTTCTTCCTCCTATAAACATCTGGTGTACCTCAGCATTAGTAATCCGATGTTCCCACCAGACCTGACCAAAGCCTCGGAGACATTAATGATCAAACACTGACATCCCGTATGTCCTGTGCGCCTAAAGGCCACGTCTGTTATCCGTAAGGCAGTATGGATCGCACCACCGCAATGTAATTTCTTCCCATGCTAGAGAACTAGTAAATTAAATCTGTAGGCCTTGAAGCATTGAAAAACTTGTTCGTCGTGTGCTACCTTCGGTCTTTTCACCTCATCCCATTCCCTTGCCCCTACTCCGTTTAATTTCGCCTAGCTAAGTCTTTCTGTTTAACGTCATATTAAAACATCTAGCATGTACTATGTAAAGCTCATTATATCCATCTGTTTCGCCAATCATGAAAATCCAACTTCCTTAACCCTATGAGCTGAGCTTGCCTATATGCCTTGGGCAGCACACTTGCATACTTGAATCGATAGTGTACGAGTCTTAATGCAATAGGTATCGTCTCGAACCTCGCATTACAACACCTGGCTCTGGGTTGGCCTCCACAAGCACCCGTCCACCGGAAAAAGCGTAGATTTCGGCCCAACCTGTATGGCACGCAGAGTTGCTTCACCGAATGCCCAGTTGACTCGTTTAAGCAGTACAAATGTTTGAGTTATGAATTCTAAGCGTGGTTTTGGTTTATACAGAGTTTGACTAGTACGTATTTGCTATATGGCCTCAGAGCATACAGTAACCTTGCTCGGAGTGATCGGATAAATCACAATAAATATAAATAATGAATCATTCAGCTGTAACATCCTTCCGGTACATAGCTGCCATGCCATCAGCAGAAAGTACGAGGGCTTGGATACTGCCAGGTTGCCCAAGCCTAGACAGGGGAAGTCGATAGTCGGATGTCGGGCTCGAACCATGGACCCTGCGGTCAGCGAATTCGCGCTCTAGCCACTTGGGCCATCTCACAATGAGAATGCTGGAAGGCCCGTAAGTATGCAGTGTACGTTGTCTGGTGTGACCAGGTTATAGAAGGCCCTCTGCGAGGTTGTTACATAGGATAAACTACCAGTTATGTGTTCGAGTGCTGTAGGACTGTGCTGCCTATCTTCATATGCATACCAGTAATGAATAGCTCATGGACATATTTTTGGTGGACAATGTACGTCAACTCACTTCAATACCGTCAGGTCTTCTTGATGATGTCTTCGTGTGGCCCATTGTAGAGGTCACATGATGGGGTCACTAGTGATGCTGACAGTCTTCGGGTGTTAATCCATTAGGTCGACAAATGGGGAACCCTGTTCGAAGTCTCATGTGCATAAGCTTATCTTGGGGCATTTTCTGTGGCCATGTACCCGTCCGGTAAGAGGGTCACAGGTTCGACTCGTGCCCTAGGTATGCTTCCAATCTGCATTGTTTAACCTCAACATTTTGTCTACACAGTATGTATCTGGAATTTTCATTTACGGAAGATCTTTTGTTAATTACTGTCACATGGGAAGCCGTGTGAGTAACCATAGGCTGCAAAGCAATCTAGCGAATGACACACATTCAAGGAATCCATGTTTTTCTTTGTTATGTTTTCAGTGGGTGTATGCTTACCGCTTTTTCTCGGAAGCCACTCGGCTGATGTGTCCAGGTGATCGTTACAGAAAGACAATGTGGGGCCAGTTCTGGTCAGCGCATCAACGCTTCTTCAAATACCTCTGTATCGCTGCCAAAGTAGATGCGTGTGTTGAGCTCACAAAGGCGGCCATCAGGGAGGGCAAAGTGAGTCAAACGGTGCACTATGCCAACCTCGATTTCTTGAGCGCCAACGTCTTTCCAGTGTCGTATTTCTCCTGGTACACGCTCTCCGAACTGCTCTTATTATCTCGGTCTCAAATTATTTTCCACTATATTGCACTTGTGGTGCGCTATCATCCCAGGATGGCTCATTTGTCCATTTGTAGTTTTCCGGATTGATCTCATAACTATATCTAGGATAATGGAGGAAGCACGTACTGCACTTTAGCGTGTGACTCGATCTTCTGATTGGCCACTTGGGGCGATAGACGGTGTTGTGAAAATGAGCGCAGCAGAATCTGCACCTCTTCTTGGTTGGGATCCACGTGGTTTTCTGTGCATGTGCCCGGAGACCCTATAGGCTGTGATACCTAAACACAGTTTGATACAGGGTTTATATCATCATCATCATTGTCAGCTGTAAGAACCGCGTACTGGTCGTACACTGGTTGTAGCTGCCACAGTTTCGTTCACCGATGACTGGGGGGGGGGGTAGATAGTTGCACACTGCAGGCGTTAGATGATAAATTGGTGCATAAACCCAGCACTGTCAAGTGGGGGGATTTAAAATGGAGCTATGCTGAGATGACATGTTTTGAGCACGACACGTTTTGAATCAAATAGGCGCGCTAAGTAGAACTCCTACCCTCTGCGATCAACCACCTTAGATGGTGTTCTCTGATCTGTTTGGGCAAGTTGCGGGTGGTACAATCAATGTAAGTGGCCTAGACACTTGAAGAGTGACAAACAACCATCACAGAGGT